AAATGTGAGTGGTTGCTTAGGCATTGGTTATGACTATCTGTCCTCGCCCCAGGGACAGAGCTGACTTCCGGATTCCAGCGGAAGCCAGCGTGGGAAACAAGTATTGGATGAGAAAATGAAGCTGGGCATCAGTCCCTCACTTCTCACCCTCATGTTCCTGTGGGGCTTGCACGGCCCAAGTCCGATGCCAGGGACAAGGACGAAAAGAATGGCAAGCCCCTGGATTCCTTTAACGGAATTCCCTTTCCACACCACCATTGGAGGGGTAGGCACTTACCCCTCCACCAACCAATTATTAACCAATGCCTAACCGCCAACCTTACAAGTTGTGACGATTTGCTACGCAGTAGGCAAAAACCAACAGGCACCAGCCAATCAGCCAGTTGGCAAAATTCCTACCAGGCCCCCGCACCAAGGCGGACGACCCCATGACAGGCATAGCAAGGTCAAGCGAACACGAAAAACCCCCCCTTATTAAAGGGAGGGTGGGCGGGTGATCCGGTGCAAAAAGCCAAGAGGACGCCCCAGCATTGGGTGTCCTGTATTTATAGCCTCTGATCCCTCCTCCAAATTGGCAACATCCAAAACTCCCCAGTAACCCAAGTTAACCACTTAAGGGCTTGGTTTTATCCAAATCTGCCCAGTAACAGTAGGGTGGCTTGTTTCCCCCAACCGCAACACATGCTCTCATTTAGGGAGAACACGTTATAAACAATTTGCACAGCTGAAATCCTGGTTGGTTGGTGTTTTGAAGTATGTGAACTCCTGCAACAAGTCAGTTAAGCAAGGGAAAAACCAACCTGGCCCCATCCATTGTGCAGTGAAGGATCAAGTTCTCTTCGTCCCTCCCTATTCCTTTTTCCTTCTTTATCACATCTGTTAGAAGGTGAACCTGAAGGTAGGGACTGCCTCTATGTTTAAACATTTTTTTCAGGTCTTTGAAAAATGTAGGTGCTTTTAAATTTGTATAATAATAATAATAATAATAATAATAATAATAATAGCTGGAACAATTGGATTTAAACCAATTAATAACTATATACTTCAGTAACAATACACCAATCCAACTCCAAGTACACTGATTTAAATTCGAGGTGTATGCTCTCAGCAGGAATGCAATTCCTTTATTGGATTCCATCATATTCCTCCCTCTGAAAAACTTCGCACTTTTGGCAGGAGGCTGCTTATAATTAATATTCTTTGGCCCAGGCCTGGAAACTGTTATTTAAAGTGCACAAAAGATCTCTCGGGAGAATGGAATAAAGACTTCCATCCCTTAAAGGAGGAAGCTATTAGTGTGCCCCACTTTTTAAGTGTAATATTGAGAGCTGGAGTGACATAGAGTTCACCTCATTATCACAAGCTTAGAATTTGCTTTCCAAAAGTGCCTTGCCTTTGATCCTCTTGAAGGCTCCTAGCCATTCTCCTTAATGGAGAACAAACCTGCTAAGAGGATGGTGCAGGAACAAGGGTGGGGTTGCAGCTTCCAATAGCTCTTCCCCTCGGCAGATTTGGAGAGTGAGGTGCCAGCGTAGTCCATTTTAGCTCCTTTCATTTTCCCTCCTTGAAGCGGGAGTGATTTGAAGCTGAAGGACTGAAACAATGGTGGTTACTTTTGCAGACTGTTGGTTGCTTCTGGCAGGTTGAGCTATCTAGTTACAGCCATAGGCATGTGATTAGGGAAGAGGGAGGGATTAGTAAAAAAAATTAACCATTATTATGCTACGAGGCAGAACTCTGAGCTTATCATGAATTGCATTGGTATATAGCTTCAAAGGGTTCAGAATCCTTCATATACATTATCTCATTGACGTTGTAAGGTAAATGTATATTATTATTACTATTTTCTGAAATCATTTTTATTTGATTTTACAAATACAAAATTTAAACAAACCGAACACATCTCCATATATAGAGATTGCTCTGAATCTCACGACTTCCCTCCCTCCCCACTGTGGGTCTTGTTCTCAACTTTTATAACTGCATATTATTCCATAATCTATATTTTATAGATGGATTGATTGATCTACTGATGGATTGATTGATTGTGTGACTGCAGTACATTGTTTATTGCTTTCATTTTATGGATCAATTGTCTCGTTAGATAGTAAAATCCATGTCAAATGGCTGTTTTAGGGGTTGGTTTTGAAAGTCTGGGATGGATTAATCCATTTTGCTTTACTTTCTATGGGAAAGCGCACCTTGGTTTTGGAACACTTTGGTTTCGGAATGGACTTCTGGGACGGATTAAGTTTGAGAACCAAGGTACCACTGTAGTTTCCTGGGCTCCTGGCTGGTTCTCGGACCCACTCCCACCCCCAAGCTCACCAGCTCAAGGGCCACAGGAGCAGAAAATGTGGTAGGTTAGGGAGGAGCTTCAGAGTTGAGAGTGAAGTTCTCAGGTAGCTACATGTAAGGCATCTTGGGAGTAGGATATGTAAGCACCCGACTGAGAGCCTGGAAGGAGTGGAGCCTCCACATACTGTCATACACATCAGCTTCTGGGGTCCTAGGCAGTCCCCGCCCCATTTTTGGGGGGGCCAGGCCCCAACAATGTCCAGAGGGCATTGGGCAAGGCTCCCTGGCTCCTTGTGAGCCCCCTTGATCAGCAGGAGAAGATGGTGCCTCTGCATGCCATACAAACTCTCTGGCTGAACTTCTGAAACAACAGCTTTCCTTGAGCAAAAAGCTTCAGTGCAAAGCCTGCCTGAACTGAGGAATAGACTCTTTAGAATGTGAGGTGGTTTTCCAGTCCTGTTCCCTGCATTCTGTTTGTGTCCTGAATGGTGGATTTGCAGCATCTCATGGCCAACAAATCGCTACAAAATTGCTGCACTTTTTACTCCCCCCCCCCCTCCAGATCTTTAATGTTAGTATGTGAGCTGATGATGTTCCAGCTCCACTGGATTCAAAGTTGGTTGTGTATGTAAAAAGATGTGATTCTGAATGCCAGAATTCTGCAATTATGTCAGAGTTGAAGGAGTTTGCTTAGATTTGTGCTTGTTGTCACGAGTGTCAAGAAAGAACTCAGTTTTAGGGGGTGATTTTTGACACTTGCCACAAACCTTGCTTTGATGCTATTCAAGTGCCCATTTGCCCCCTGCTCTGGTTCTGCTCTTTGCAGGGTTGTATGTCTCCCTGCCATCCTTGGGCCATGTCATCTGCCCCAGTGCCATCATGAACTAGGATTGGCTGCAGTAGCCCATGTGATTCTGTTGATCACGTCAAAGCGCTCTGTAGAATGCTGTGGTGCATCTAATCCAATGAAATGGCAGTGAGGACAAATGAGGGAGAGGACAGTGAGGGCAAAGGAAGGGGGAAAAAACATATTGGAGCAGCTACCAGAGAAGGATATGGAACAGCACTGAAACAACATGAATATTTGGTGAACTGTGGAACGACCCAACTGAGTTTGGTCTAGTCATGTTGAATATGCTGATTTCAAAGGGAATACAGTCATACCTTGGGTTGAATATGCTTCAGGTTGAGCGTTTTCAGGTTACGCTCCATGGCAACCCGGAAGTAATGGAACACGTTACTTCCGGGTTTTGCCGCTTGAGCATGTGCAGACGCTCAAAATGACGTCATGTGCATGCGCGGAGCGGTGAAACGTGCACGCGCAGACGCATGTTACGTTCTACTCAGGATGCGAACGGGGCTCCGGAACAAATCCCGTTCGCATCCAGAGGTACCACTGTAGTGGAATTAGGGACTATCTGGTACAGGCTGACTTTAAATTCTATCAATAATGTTGCCATTTGATATAAAAGTAGCTTTCATTAAGGACATGTCTTACCCAGTGGGGAACATGCCGTGCTGAGAGAGGCTGTTGGCTTTACGGCCCTCCTAGAGATGAAAAGAATCTCAGCAAATAAATAACAAGACAAAGAAATGTGTCCATTCTGATGCCTGTCTTGACTTTCAAAAGATGCCTTTTGATGTCGTCCCTTTCATGCGATGAATGCAGCTCTCCTGCAATATAACTCGCCCCTCCTTGAGCATAATGTCTGTCTTACCACTGCACTGTATTTATGATACAGTGGCCTCTCCAAAGTACCGGTAATGGGGAAATTCTTATTGGCTTCAGCAAGGTGAAGGTTTGACCTCCTGCATGCTTCTGAGAATATGTTTAGCAGAGGAAAGAAACAGAAAAGAAGAGGTAGATGAATGTCACCATTTTTTGCTCGTATGGAGTAGAATGTATGATTCGCTGCCAAAGGAACTGCACTCAGTTGAAAGGGAGCAAGAATTTCATAACTGACTTGCACAGAACTAAACATTTCAGTGGCTGAAATCCTGGACTCTGTTCAGTTTCAGTTCTCTATTAATTGTTTAGTGTTCTAGCTTGATCCAGCAAGGGATGTTGATGAACAAAAGCATTTTCTCCTTGAAGATTACTTCCTTTATCCAGTGGGAACACATTGTTTTGTGGAGAGCTGTTCTTCTCTACCACATAACTCCAACTTTGCCTTTGAAATTCCCCTAACCTAAAAACAAAACTTAACATCTTATAGAATGATAGAGTTGGAAAGGACCACGAGGGTCATCTAGTCCAACCCCCTGCTGTGCAGGAATCTTTTGCCCAGCATGGGTCTCATACCCTCCAACATTTCTCCGATGAAAATAGGGACGTCCCATTCCATAATGATAATTTTACTATTTATACCCCACACATCTTACTGGGTTGCCCCAGCCACTCTGGGCAGCTTCCAACATACATAAAAACATTAAACATTCTTAAAAACTTCCCTTCAGACGGCTCGGGGGCCGGATAACTCCATATCCTCCAACATCTCTCCAATGGAAACAGGGACATCCTAAGGAAAAGTGGAACATTCCTGGATCAAATCAGAAACAGGATGGCTTCTCTAAATCAGAGATGTCCCTGGAAAATAGGGACACTTGGAGGGTCCGGGGTCTTGAACCCACGACTTTGAGATTTAAAGTCTCATGCTATGACATGCCTAATAAGAAACTCTGAGAAAAGGAAATAAAAAAAATTCCTTCCAGTAGCACCTTGGTATGAGCTTTCGTGTGCATGCACACTTCTTCAGATACCTTCGGAAGTGTGCATGCACACGAAAGCTCATACCAATAACAAACTTAGTTGGTCTCTAAGGTGCTACTGGAAGGATTTTTTTTATTTTGTTTCGACTACAGCAGACCAACATGGCTACCTACCTGTAATCTGAGAAAAGGCTGCAATTAGCCCAACAGTTAGTGTTGGTTTTTCCCCAGCATTGGCCAATCCTTTAATCGACAAGAGTACTGTATTTTGCAAGGCAGTTTGGAGATCCTGTGGCTGGATAAGATGACACAAAATTGGGGTCTGGCTTACCGGGCCCCTGGCAAATCAGAGCAGATGAAGCAAGAGAACTGCAAATACAAGCAGTCTATTCACATGAGCAGTGTGACTTCAAGTAAGAATACCAATGGAGATTAGACTGGTGGCTGCTATGCATGTTGTGTTTTGCAGGTGCCGGGGCACCTGTACACGCAAAGGGCTGCTCCAGCTTCCATAAATGTCATCGTCAGACATTAGCACTGCTCATGTCAGTAGGTGGTTAGATGCTCTTGCAATCCATTTGTGGTGGCTCATCAGCCAAAAAACGTCCGTAGCACCTCTCAGCTTGCCTTACTGCCAGGTTGTTGTGAGACTGAAATGCTGTTCTGAATTCCTTGGAAAAAAGTAAGCAAATAAATAAGATAGCTAGACTTTTGGAATGCAAAATAATTGACTTCTTTCCATATGCATAAATGCCATCATGTTGTTGTTTTTTAGGCCCTGCCACAAAGCAGCTGGCATATTCCTTTGCAGATTTTATAAAAACAGAATCTGATTTCTCTTTCTCTCTCTCTCTCTCTTTTAATGGGGAAGAAAAGCATTTCTTTTTCAAGGTCAATTTCAAATCTTATGGCCTTTTCAATTCCAACCCACAAAATCTATTCATCTTGCTTTTTGGCAGCTCATTCACATCTTACCTCTCTCATTCACACACATATATATATATATATATATATATATATATATATATATATGTGTGTGTGTGTGTGTGTGTATATATATATATATATATATATATATATATATGTATGTCTGATGAAAGCAAACATGATTTTCCCTGACAAAAAAGAAAGAAACAAAGAAACATAATAAGTGCTTTTCCAGATGCATCATGGTGCATTGGGCAGCCTGTGGTTCTGAGAAAGATGGTCCTTGAGGGTTTTTTGTTTTGTCAAGAGTTTCACCAGAAAGCTACTTTTTTTGGTAGCTAGCTGAGACTCATATGTGTTCAAGTAAACTGCCAGGCTCAGAAAATATATTAATTTGACAGCAAAGACAGAGATTTAAGTCCCTTTGCTTTAGAGCACGAGCCAGCCTCTGGCATCCCATTCCCCCTTCCCCACTCCTGGCTAGCATTCAAGTATCCCCTTTTTAAAAAATGCCTGTGGTTTTTGCACAGCGGACCCAGTTTGCATTGGAGCTTAAGGATATTAGGGTGCCTAAAAGGTTGCATTTAGTTATTTGACATGCTTCTATCCCAGGGTGAATTCCAGGCGGCTTCCATAAAAGCTCACTGTATAGTAAATAAGAAGTACAATATCAGATGAACATCAAGCCATGGAAGTGAACGTCCTTAAGACAACAGAGCCAAGCAAACACTCAGGCTTTAAATCTTAAACACACTTCCCTGGGAGTGCATCTCATTGAACTCTGTGGGATGTGCTTTTGAGTAGATAATGCTCTTCTGAGTAGATATGCATAGGCTGGCCCTATTAAAGGCTTCCTGGAAAAGACATATTTTAGCCAGACGTCTAAAAGAAGACTGTTTCAAGGCCTGGGAAACTTCCCCAAATATGGATTCATTATACCCTGTTGAAGGGATGCGGTTGGCACTGTGGTCTAAACCACAGAGACTAGGGCTTGCTGATCGGAAGGTTGGCGGTTCAAATCCCCGCGACGGGGTGAGCTCCCGTTGTTCAGTCCCAGCTCCTGCCCACCTAGCAGTTCAAAAGCACATCAAGTGCAAGTAGAAAAATAGGTACCACTCTGGCGGGAAGGTAAACGGCATTTCCGTGCACTGCTCTGGTTCTCCAGAAGCAGCTTAGTCATGCTGGTCACATGACCCGGAAGCTGTATGCCGGCTCCCTCGGCCAGTAAAGCGAGATGAGCGCCGCAACCCCAGAGTCGTCCATGACTGGACCTAACTCCTGTTATCCCATATAATGGTTCTTCTGCTCCTCAGCCTGATGCCCTGCAGATGTTTGGACTTCAGCTTCCATTGGTCATACTGCCATGATAAATAGGGGCATAGCATGTGGGATGTCAAGGGGGCCGTGACCCCGGATGCAGTTTTTGTGGGGGCACAAACCAGGCACCTCCAGTGTGGCCCGGCCCAGTACACCTCTCCACCTGCCAAGGGCCACACTGGCTCACCTGGTTCCCCCTGCATGGGTGGGCAGGTGGCTCAGCATGGCCTCACTTTGGTTTGGTGTGGGTGGGGTCACTCTGGCGCTGGCAAGGGCTGAGCTGCCCTACCCGTGCCCCCCCCCCCCGGCACTGACAACCAACGTTATGCCACTGGTGATAAGTTGGACAGGATAAGTGAGACAATTTTTTAGCAACTAGTCCCAAGCTGTATAGGGCCTTGTACACCAGGAAGTTAAAATTGTGGGGATGTTGTGGATAGTAGGAGAGGATATATTGATTAAATATTATCCTTCCTAATTCACACTCGTGAGCTGGTAGCAGAGTATATCTTATTACAAGAAGCTAGTTGGTAGATTCGTCTGAATCTCTTGAGTTAAGCAATCCAGTCTGGCTTGTCCAGATTGGATTTGTTACTGGGAAATCCCCTTTGTTCCCTCTTAGAAAAGAATAAAGACACAACACTCTTCTCTTAAAAGTAACAAGAAGTTTACTTGCATTCAGTTCACGGCCTGATCCTTGATGGCAGGCTTTAGCTTGTAGTTACAGAAGACAGTGTGGGTTTATTCCAAATGGGAATGAGCCCATTTGCTGCTGGCTGAGAGCCAGCACACAGCAAAAGAACGTCAAGTTGGTATAAAGTGAAGAAGAAGTGAGAGGAAGGTGGCTGCGTGACTAGCCCCGTTATAGGGTCTGCCAGGGTCACGCCCATCTACCTGGTCACACACAGGGGGAGGATGTTCCACACCAGGTGTGACAGGAAGTCTTCCTGACTGGACCAACATTCCCCTGCGTGTCCACTCTGGGCAAACAGGAAATGTTGTACTTGACTGCTTACGTTACATCCCACAAAAATAGTAGGCGTTACCTGACTACAGTGGTACCTCAGGTTACAGACGCTTCAGGTTACAGATGCTTCATGTTACAGACTCCGCTAACCCCAAAATAGTACCTCAGGTTAAGAACTTTGCTTCAGGATGAGAACAGAAATTGTGCAGTGGCGGCGCAGTGGCAGCGGGAGGCCCCATTAGCTAAAGTGGTACCTCAGGTTAAGAACAGTTTCAGGTTAAGAACAGGCCTCCAGAACGAATTAAGTTCTTAACCCGAGGTACCACTGTATTTGATGTGAAGGTTGTTGCAACCAGCATCATGTGCTGGTGCCACTATCTCTGGTGGTTGGTTGGGTGTCCCTGCACATCATGCATTTACTGCCAAGTAGGAGAATATTCAAAATGTTTAGTCTCCTCCCCAGAGAACTGAAGCAATAACCACCCAGAAAAGGCTTTGCCACTCAGTTGAACTGGGCCCAACTCTCACCCAACGCTGCCAATAAGTTCTCCCTTGCAGAAAGTGACTGGCACATTTTGCATAGCTTTCTGCTGTGAGACAAAAGAGACTCTTGAGTAGCACAGTGTCTGTGGCTGTCATGTGTTTCCTCACGTAGACAGATACTCGCAAGCGTTTATTAACCGGTGCCAGCTAAGTGGTTTCTTCCTTCTGATGCACTTCTGATGAAGGTTGGAGGGAATAATCTGAGCACTTCCCACCCCACCCCCCATCTCTTCTCGTGTCATATTCCCCTTATCTCTGAATGGCTGCTCTCTGCCCTTCCTTCTCTCAAAAGCCTCGTGAGGTTTAGCTTTATGAATGCTATTTTATGCTGACAGCCAGGTTCAATCTTCTGCGTGGGGAATTGCGTTCAGAGAAGAAGTGAACTGTATTCCCACCCACCCCTCTCCTTCCCTCACATGCCTGCACATCACAAATATCACATCAAGGAGCAAAATAATGCTTTGCTGCACATGGTCTTGGTTCCTTGTGACACTGTTCTCTGCAGAAAATTGGCTTCAACTTACTGAGCAGCTTACTTTTCCTATTATTTATTCAACTTCCTAATGGACAACCAGTTTTGTACTGTATCTTAAGCCTGGTTCACAAATACCCACGGCGTCTAGGTTATAGGTTTGGGAGCAAGCCTCGGGTTCGTGTTGGGGAGGCCTGACGATTATTATTCAGACTGCATATGATTATTTCTCAGAGGCATGTGTATCCTGGAACAATGAAAAGGTATTCATTGCAACAAATGCCAATGAACTTCTCTTTTGTCATTTTAATCTTGAATATATCCATGAACAGACCTTTGATCCTGACTGAGTCTTCCCCACTCAGCTGCAGGGACACCAGTCTAACTACATATACAGTGGTACCTCGGGTTACATACGCTTCAGGTTACAGGTGCTTCAGGTTACAGACTCCGCTAACCCAGAAATATTACTTCAGGTTAAGAACTTTGCTTCAGGATGAGAACAGAAATCGTGCTCCGGCGGTGCGGCAGCAGCAGGAGGCCCCATTAGCTAAAGTGGTGCTTCAGGTTAAGAACAGTTTCAGGTTAAGAACAGACCTCCAGAATGAATTAAGTTCTTAACCCGAGGTACCACTGTAATGTGAAATCAGAGGGATGTGCCTGTGGGCACATACCCATTTTTTTGCAGCAGATGGATTGTGTGAATGAGGCCTACAAACATAAGCACTTAACATGTGTTAGCTCCTGTTCACACAAAAGGAACTGTGTGCTGGGAGAGGGTTTCTAAGCCTGCGTACAGTCAATGTAGAACCATCATTTTCTCTGATCATGCTCCTAGCCTCCAAGCTGTGCCTGTTATCCCTTGTTATAATTGTGGGTACCACAATTTAAGAATGATGTTGACAAGCTGGAATGTGTGCAGAGGAGGGCAACCAAGATGATAATGCTCTGGAAACCAAGCCTTATGAGGAACGGTTGAAGGAGCTGGGTATGTTTAGCCTGGAAAAGAGGAGACTGCGAGGAGATATGATAGCCATCTTCAGATATCTAAAGGGTTGTCACAAGGAAGAGGAAACAAGCTTTTCTCTTGCTCTGGAGAGTAGGACTCAAACCAATGGCTTCAAGTTACAAGGAAGGATATTCCAACTGAACATCAGGAAAAACTTTGTGACAGTAAGAGCTGTTTGACAGTGGAACAGTTTTATATATATATATAAAAGATCAGATGCTATTGGTTGCATGCAGATGATACTGAATACTAATATAGCACCGTCATATGGATTTTGTGGTAGCCAGAATTTAAAGGCAAACTTATTGAGAAGTTAATTTAAAAAAATCAACTTGATTATATACACTCACCACTATTGGATAGCAATGTCTGAAGCTTACAGCTTTCAAGAAACACTTGAGAGATTGCATATGTATTACTTTTATTTATTTCAAGTTCTGAACCCAACTCTTCAGTCAAAAAATATCTCCCAGTAGATCAGTGACAAATATCAACAGCAAGATCAGGTTTGCGATCTAAAAGAAACAGCACAAGAGGAAAAGGGAGTGGGGAGGGAGGAGAAAGCAAAAGCAAAATCAAAGACATTAGTTATTCATTACAGAATTCTTGTAGCAACCAACTGGAATGGAAATCACGCAAGGAGAGAAGAGCTAAAAATGGCTGGTATCTCACCCAAGCTGATGGTGAAGTTTTGTAGTCTCATCTCTCTCCTCCTACATTCCTTTAGTGTAGCAGCCCCTTGGAACTGCCTGCTGATTGACATTTGGGAGGTGTCATCACTGTACATCTTTAGAAGTTGTTGTGGGGAGTAAATGAG